ATGCTGAAAATACAGCTGCGCATCACAGAAATACATTACAGTTTAACAGATATTCACATAGAAAACAGATGTTTTACATTATAATAATATTTCACTGTTTTTACTGTATTTAGTCCACTGTAATAACCTCGAGCAGAAAGGCAGTCGCAGGATCAAATACACAGTGGTTTTCTGGAGAAGTGTAACGGCCGTGTCTGACCTGCAGCGCTCCGATGGCGGCGCTCTGGAAGCGCAGGTCGGTCTTGAAGTCCTGAGCGATCTCACGCACCAGACGCTGGAAGGGAAGCTTGCGGATCAGCAGCTCGGTGGACTTCTGGTAGCGGCGGATCTCACGCAGAGCCACGGTCCCGGGCCTACAGACACACACAGAGCCGTCAGCGCTCGTCCCGCGGCTCCAGACCAAACACGACTCGCGGCTCAGTACCTGTAGCGATGCGGCTTCTTGACTCCTCCAGTAGAGGGCGCACTCTTACGAGCCGCTTTAGTCGCCAGCTGCTTACGAGGAGCTTTTCCTCCGGTGGATTTACGGGCGGTCTGCTTCGTACGGGCCATTCTGACACACGATCACCTCAAACACAACACACACAATATTACACACACGCACAGAAAATACATGAATATATATTACCTACTTACTTGCGGATCAGCAGCTCGGTGGACTTCTGGTAGCGGCGGATCTCACGCAGAGCCACGGTCCCGGGCCTACAGACACACACAGAGCCGTCAGCGCTCGTCCCGCGGCTCCAGACCAAACACGACTCGCGGCTCAGTACCTGTAGCGATGCGGCTTCTTGACTCCTCCAGTAGAGGGCGCACTCTTACGAGCCGCTTTAGTCGCCAGCTGCTTACGAGGAGCTTTTCCTCCGGTGGATTTACGGGCGGTCTGCTTCGTACGGGCCATTCTGACACACGATCACCTCAAACACAGCACACACAACATTACACACACGCACAGAAAATACATGAATATATATTACCTACTTAGTTTAAAATAATCAAAATGATTTAAGTAAATAAATAAATAAACAAAAACAACATATGATTAAAAAAACTATGTAAATAAAATGCATTTCATTAAAATAAGTACATTGTATAAATAAATGTGATTTAAATAAATGAATACATGATCAAAGCAAATCGATTAACATATTTTAAAATCACCATTTAAATAATTTACCTATTTTAATAATTTTTTAATTAGTTACAGATTTAAATTATTTTAACCAATTTATTTTTGTTTCAATTAATTTATATATATTATTCATTTTAATCAAATTTATTTGTATAGGTAATCAGTTTTATCACACTTTTTCCTCTAAACTTTCCAAGGACCAGTTTGAAAACCCCTGCTTCATAAAAAAAAAAAAATCTAATAATATAATCATGTCATACTGAAATAATCAAAAAAGTATAGTCCGTGGTAGAAACTGTAATTGACGATTATATTTAAGACGCTTTAGGATTGAGTTCGAGCTTGAAAACAACAGGAAGTTTAACACGTCAATCATGCCTCAAAAACCAGCCTCTTTATAATCATATATTCATGAGCCGACCAATCGGAGGACAGGAAACAGACCAGACGGTCGGCGTAAGCCCCGCCCCTCATCTGTGAACATCATGGCGCCTGTTGGACTCGGACAGAAAACTGAGCGAGAAAACAGACGAACTAACGATAAAACTTCGACAATTTCACTGCGAATCACTCCACTGTTCTCACCAGTTACACTCGGACAACAAAGAAAACACTCTAGGCATGCGATATCGGACGTGTAAAGCAGGAACGGAGGCGTTTATGGTGTTTTTCGGCGTTTGTGAAATATCCGTTTATTTTGGATGGATTTTGCAGCTCGCGCGGATGAAGCGCCTCAGGATTTCACCGATATAAACACAAACCCGTTCAAACCGACACGAATTTACACAAAACACGACATTTTTCTGGCTGCCTAAAATAACAATTAAATAACACATTTATATTTCCTCTGCCTTGACGCTCTTACCTTAGTAGTAGTTGTGTTTAAAGAGTGTTTGGAGTTGAGCTTCAGTGTTATTTACCGTCTCTCGCGCACAATGGCAGCGGAAGTGCGCCAATCAGCGGCTCCCACAATGCACCGCGCGGCAGCCTGCATGATCCTCAGTTATACTGTGAAAATAACTATATAAAATAAATACGTCTAACATATTATTTGGAAAATATGTAGTTTCTACTACAATACATGTTTTATTCCACACACTATAGCACTGTATTGTTAGATATAGTAATTTATTCTTTATTTTTTATTATTATAATTATTATATAATATAAATATTATAATTTTTATTTATTCATTTAATCAATGCTATTTTATTTAAATTGATTTTAAATCAAATATTAATTTATTTGTATTCAAATTTATTTTAATAAATTTTTACCTAGTTTTATTATATAATTGTTTTCATATTAATATGGTAAAAATAATTATAATTTAATCTTATTTAATTGTATTTTAATTTATTTTATTCACTTTTTAAATTAAATAATTTTATCTACTTTTACACTTATTTAAATCACTTTATTTATTGTAATCAAATTGTAATATTAACATACACTTTCATTGCTTATTTATTGTAGTTTCATTTAAATACTTTTTAAATTGTAGCATTATTTACTTATTTATTTCTTTATTTTAACCATTTTTATTTTAATCAAATTTGTATATTCATGCACATTTTATAATGTATGTCAATTGTGCGTTTAGTTTCATTATTTATTTTTACATTTTTAACACTTTCTCTAAACTTTTCCTCTGACCGTAATAGCAGTGTGTGAGGACAATCCCAGAAGATATGCATATTCATTTCAGCTTGCATCTATCCCTATAAAATACTATAGTAATTTATAGTAAATACTAGTGTTTTTGAGCCATACTAGGCTATAGTACTGTATATATTATAGTATTTACAACACTTTGTTAATGAATGCTATAGTGAATTGATAAACTGTAATAAATACTGTAGTATACTTCAGTTTTTACTACAGTAAACTGTCGTGTATTGTAGTATAACATACCCTATAGTTGTAGATAACTTAGTACAGTATTGGGTAATTTGTTTATATTACTATAGTTGTTATATTACCACAGCAACTATAGAATTACCACAACAAATTAATATGGTTCAAAAACACTGTAGTATAAATTAGCCAGAAACTCCAGAGACAGAGCTGATTACATGTAATCTGGATTATGTCATCAAAATTGCTAACACTTTATTTTAAGGTGTCCTTGTTACATGTTACATGTACTTGCTATTATAATAACAATTAATTATGCATAATTACATGCAAGTAACCCTAAGCCAAACCCTAACCATATTATGACTGATTATGACTGTTTAAAAGTTATAAGCAAAAAACATGCAGTTTTGGTATCTCACGACCCATAGGTTATGGGAGGAGAGTATTAAAATTAATCATGCAACTCAATTTACTAACATTTGTGCTCATTAAATTACTGGTAATTGCGCCATTTTTTTACTATTTTGCGCCTGTGACATAAGTAGATCACCAGCACCTGATGAGCATCACTGCGTATTTGCGATCTCTGCTAATTTGCACTGCGCTTGGTATATTGCGTTGGTCGATATGTAAATGAGATGATGCGTCTGTGTTCTTTAATTTGGGCATTGTCAGTGAATCACCTGCATAAATTTCCACGCCCATCTGCGTTGTTTTGGAAATGCGCTCTCACGCTAATTTGCCCTATTTAGTAAATCTGTCCCCAAGACACCAAGATTATGATTCTGACTAACTGTTCAAAGGTTATTAGCCAAAATAGCCATTTTTGGTATCTCCTGACCCGTAGGTGGCGCTGTTCCCAACTTTGGCATGGACCCTCAGATCATGGTGTTGATGAAGTGTACCAAGTTCTGTGTCGATTGATCAAAGTTTGCCTGAGATACGGCCTCTGAACCAATTTTGCGTCAACCTCGTTAAGCTGCACAAATATTCCTGTTGATTAATCAGAGTGAATAAAGATAACTTCTTAAAGTTTTCTGAAATGTTTAAATACGCAACTAAGGCATTGTCTAATTAAATATGCACTAATCTGCATACATTTCCAGAACAGAATGGGTTAAGCCAGGTTCAAAATTCTTATTTGATTTTGTTGTCATATTAGAATGAAAGCTTTTTACTGAAGGGATTTCGGATTTCTCTTTTTATCACTCCATAAATCACAAAATACTGTCAACAGACAGAAAAAAAAAACACATTTTCACGTTTTTAGGAGTTAAATGTTGTATAAATCAGTGTGAATTATATATGAACAAACCCTTCAGTAAATAAATTCAGAATATAGTTGGTTTTGATTGCTTCTATTGTCCTCATTTGTAAGTCTCTTTGGATAAAAGTGTCTGCTAAATGCCTAAATATAAATCCACACCACTCCAGTCCATCAGTTAACATCTGGAGAAGACAAAAGCTGAAACAAATCCAGCATTAAGACATTTTTAACTCAAATACCATAGAGTTCATAATCCATAATAACGCTTCCTCCAGTGAAAAAGTGTTCTGGTGTGAATCAGGAGAGAAATCTGCACAGATCAAGCAGCGTTTAAACAGCTCTAAACTAATATGTGGCTGGATTTTGATGTGAGAGACAACAGCAGATGCACTTTTTCACTGGAGGAAGCGTTATTATGGATTATAGACTCTATGGTATTTGAGTTAAAAAGGTCTTAATGCTGGATGTGTTTCAGCTTTTGTCTTCTCCAGATGTTAACTGATGGACTGGAGTGCTGTGGATTACTTGTGGATTATTGTGATGTTTTTATCAGCTGTTTGGACTCTCATTCTGACGGCACCCATTCACTGCAGAGCATCCATTGCTGAGACACTGATGCAATGCTACATTTCTACAAATCTGATGAAGAAACAAACTCATCCTAATCTCAGATGATCTGAGAGTGAGCACATTTTAATTTTTGAGTGAACAATTCCTTTAAATTTGTTCACTGGTATAAGTGATTACAAATAAAAATGCGATGCATGAGTATTTGATGTTTTAATAATAGATTCCCATATACAAACTTGATATTGTGATATTGTTGGCCACATCACCAGATTCGGGCATATAACGTGTGATAAATGAAAACACATGCAGTGGAAGATAATCGATTTGAAATAAGACAAAACGTCCTTCAGAACTGAATGCATTTGCAAATTGCAAAGAAAAGTAACAAAAAAAATCCCCTAATGGATGGAAGCAGTAGTTTAAAAAGTGCACAATAAAAATACACAAAACGTTCCAACATCCACTAATTGGTCCATTTGCATTTCCCCAGTTAACAGCAAAGGCAATTACGATGCTACAGCCGTACAAAACATAAATCCCAAAATATCTGAGATTAAAAAAAAATAAACAACACTTATAGTTACAAAAAGACATAAAAAATGAGAACCAAGTGTTAAGCATACATACCGTCAGGGCTAAAACACTGTTTTTATCAAGTAGTGTTCTGTAATTCAGTGGGAATGATCGTATATGAGTTCATTAGCTTGGCCTTTGTCGAAAATACACGCAAAGTTCTGCCTCTAGGAGAAGAAACGTCCATGTCAGGATCACTAAAGAAGC